TCCATCAGCTCACCTTCCAGTTTTTCCTCATAAATCACTTGGTCCGTATGTTCCCCCGATACCTCCCCCTTCAAACGTCTTTTAAAACAAATGAAAATGTACAAAAACAGAGCAGGCATTGTACCAAGAAACAGAGGTGGTTCTGGGTAATCATCTGGGGAACATTGGTATGACCCTCTTAAATTGGTGAAATGTTAGCTGAACTGTTAGCTYGTCCTTTGGCTAAAAACTAAGTGAAACTAAATCTAAAATTAACAAAGTGGACACAAATCACCTGCTAAAGGTTGTTCAGCCTTGATTCGTGCCCCTGTGGCAGAATCTGGATGCTAACGACATAATTACAGTTTCAGCTAGATTTTTTTATTTTCTCGAGTTTGGTAATTGACATTCGTTTTTGCGTGTATTTAAGAGCTGAGCTGCAGTTTGTAAGATAGGTTGCGGTTGTTGTTGTTATCTTTACAATCACACAGAGGCTGGAGAAAACATGGGCAACACTGCGGGGTCTCGTCTCGAGAGCCACACGGAGGAAATGACTGACAGATCAGCAGCATAAACAAAACCTCGTCTTGTAGTGATTTTTACTGGATAATGTCATCACAGACGACTCGAGGCTGGTTTGAATCTACTTCTTTCGAGTGTTCGGAGCAATTTGCACACATTACTGACGAGCACAACAACAGAGGTGAGGGAGGCTGCCACTCTGGATGAATGGATGTATGGCTGCAGAAGAGTGCTGTTAATGCTGTGAGTTTATATCTGAGGCAGACGGCAGCAGCACTTATAAACCTGCTGGGCAGCAGCCATTTGTTTATTAATGATGAACTTACTGTGTGTTTGCAACATTTGACTTAACGAAGACTTAAAAAGATCATTCAGAGCCTTTGTAGAGGGGTAATGTGGAAAGGCTATAAACAGTCASTATCTTACCTGTTGTAGATAGCTCGTTGAACAATGTCAGTTTGGAGAAACAATTTGTTTGGAGTCACAATTTGTGGGAGGGTTAATTATCCTTTTTGGACTTTTTTCAGCCTATTAATGTGTTACATTATTTTTTTTTGTTTATTTGTTATTTTGAATGTTTATTTTTTTTATTTGGTATCCTTATTTTCTTGCTTTTCTGTACACCTCTGCATTTTTCTGTCCTGTTGCCGTAAATATGTTTTCAGTCTAAGATTTATTTATTTATTTATTTGTTTGTTTGTTTATTTATTTGCCAACTGTGAGGATATTCTTAAATTTTTTTTGGTTTACGTTGTGTTTCTGTAATCGATTATCAGTATGTTTGCAATTCCTGCTCATTGCTGCCTGGCTGCTGAGTGGTTATTTATGTATTTATTTATTTATTTATTTGCTTGTCTCCTGTGTTCATCTGGCAGATTTAGATTTTCCCAGTGTCATCGTTTTCTTCAGCTTCCTTGATAAGTCATTCAGCCCACCTGTTCATTTGCCTCCCAGCTGTTCTCATTCAGTAATCACCCTCTCCTGCATTTATATCTTTGTTTTGTTCATGTTCAGCTGACAGATTCTCACAGTTTGTTCCTCTGGGTTTTCTGATCAATTTGGATCATTCTTTGTGCTGCTCTGCATGAAGCTTTTTATTTATTTATTTATTTATTTAATTGGATTGAACCATTTCAGGTTTTACCTGCCTGCCTGCATCTATGGGCGCAGCATCACCAGCCATAATTCTTTAATTCTGACAAGCTAACTTCTAGTCCAGCTGGACTGCTACCATCTAAAAACAAAACATTCGCACAGCAAAGTGTGACAGCTAGCTGCTTATTCTTACCATAGACCTCTATGTAAATAACCATTTAATGCAAACTGATGTCAGTGTAAAGGTTTATAAAATATTTGATATGATTTTTTGGATTGGATTGGATTTTAATCCATTTATGACATCTTCTTTTGGTAACGTTTAAAGATAAATTTGCTCTAGTAATTATTTTCAAAGGTATTTTCATTCTGTAGATTTTTTTCAAGACCCTGGCTTTATATTTCATAACACACAGTGGGGTCCTGACCCGATGAAACAGGTCGAGAGGAAGGATTTAAATCTGACCCAGAATGACACCAGTGAACATAAASCTGCTTAAAATGATCTGATTAGTTATCATTGAAAAAAAAAACTATTTCTTCCATCTATTTCCTGTGTTACACTTAAATAAGTAATCTGGTCAATTTAGAAGTAATTCTTAATCAAATAGTTATCAGATGTTATCAGCCATTGGGTTGGTCATTACCGTATTTCTAGACCTTTTCTCCATGTGCTCCATGGCTGACATCACAGCTAATGAAGCACTAACTATTTACAAGTATTTGACACAACATGGCATTAAAAATGACCAGACCATCCCTTTAACAACAAGACCACAGTATTAAAACACAAAAGATATGTTTCAGGTCATGTGGAAATGCTAAAAATGCCAGGAGAAGGCAGCTTTGTAGAGATTTATAACCTCCGTTAAGCTCCTTCTTTTGGTTTTATCTCTTGCAGTTTTAATGTTTTGGTTCCCTGCCTTTTAAAACCCCATTATCTGGGGCCTGCCCAGCACAAATCAGCAAGCACATAATGTTGGCAACTTGATTGTGAATACACTGGAGCATTTAGCAGCAGAAGAGTCACGTATTTGGCCTATAGGAGTTGTTAGAGATCAACACAAAGCTGAAAAAAGCTCAAGAATGTGACTCTGASTTTTCTCTAATGTTGCTAATTTAGTTGCTGAGTGTGTAGAAAAGAAATAATGCGTATGTCCCATTAAAATACTGTCAAGATTGCAAAATGCAAACGGGCTGTGCTTTTATTTATGAAAAAGTTTGTTCGTGTGCATGTTCAGGGAGAACATTTCTTTCTTTGCAAGCGTTAAAACCCTGAATTGTCTCAAACATTTTCTTGTTTGCTGCCTTTTTCCAATCATCTTTGCAAATTCGGCTCCTTGACAATCATCTCTGAGATACAACAAGACCTCTGACTGGGTGTAAATTATGCAACAAAATGTGTAAAAACATTCCTCTACAGCACCACTAGTGGACAAAAGCTCAACTGGAACCATTTCAAAACTGATGCTTATGTCATGTGTGACAAAATAGGACATAAACATGAAAATCATTTTAAACAGTAACACGCTTGTTTGTTCTGCTGGAGAATAATTTTAAAAATAATAATAATTTCCACTCTGGTGCTGTTTTTATGAGTCCTGGTTTTGTTTTAGGTTTGGATTAAAGCTAGAAAATTTAAGCTTTTTWAAAAAAGCAGTGGTTTAAAGAGATAATCTGTCTGTGGAAGTCAATCAAAACCAAGCTTTTAAATGCTTTTAAATATTAAAGCCCTAATATTTCTTAAAGGAATGCATATCGCCCACTGAGATTTTTTTTTTTAAATTATGATCATCTTATGTGGAATTATAGCCATTTTGGTCTAACCTTGTCCAACTGACGTTTGGTTCAATCACGTCCAATATTGCAATAAGATGTCAGATCTGTTTATGTGTTGTGAATGAGTCAGCTACGYTCACAGGCAATTTTAGCTCAATATCTCTAAAAAGGACAGAGTTGCAGTCATTTTTATGCTTGCTAATTTTGATAAGCTGTAGTGGTCATCTGCTRTTAGATTGACTCCACAAGTTAATCAGTTGTAGATGCATAACCAGTAATTATTTTCTGAAAGATTCATTMAAWTCCATCTWGTGGTCCAAGAGATATTTTGCTTACAGACAAACAAGGTYGACATCARCATTTATTACTAAYGTTTCAAGCACATATCTTGTACAATGAGGAGCACTCAGTGTTGTGAATCACTCTCAGCTACAGCCACACAAACTTTCAGGTTCATGTCTGTGAAACTGGCTGAAACATGGTTGTTTTTGTGTTCTTTTTTTGTGTTCAGTTGTCTGTGGTGGCCATTTTTAAATCGGTTGGATCCAGAATTTAATCAGCTATAGACGTGCATGCAGTGATTATTTTCTGAAAGACACGTTAGAATCCATCAAGTGGCCCGTGAGATATTTTGCTAACAGACAAACATCTCTGTAAAGAGGAGCTCGTGTGCCTGAGAGTTTAATGGTTTCACTTTGTGYGTCAGCGGAGGCCCCTTTGGACTTGACTCAGACTAAATGTGAGTTTACTCGCACTCACCCCTGGTATTTGAACCTAATGCACCTGTGACATTTTCCCTTTTGATCCTCCTCCCCTTGTTTTTCTTTTTCTTTTTCTTTTTCTTTTTTACTGATGGAGGGATGCGTTCACTTCCCTCAGCTGTCAGGGAAAACACAACATTTAGCTTAAGGGACGGAAAACACGAAAACACACTTCTCTCCATCTGAGTTGTGACTGTGTGTGTGTGTGTGTATGTATATGTGTGTGTGTGTATATATACACTGCTCAAAAAAATAAAGGGAACACTTAAAACAACGCACGCTAAGTCCAAGTAAATCAAACTTTTGTGTAGCACATTCAACTCTGTACAGAACAAAGTACTCAATGCGAATATTTCATTGATTAAGATCGGGAGTTAGCGTGCGTTGTTTAAATGTTCCCTTTAATTTTTTGAGCAGTAGTGTTCCCTTTATTTTTTTGAGCAGTGTATGTA